GTCATTCTGCTTTGAAAGAAACTTTCATAAGGAAAACAAAGTATATGTCTGAAAATATTATTAGGATATATACTGGTTTGTTGTTTGCTTATGTGTTTAAAAAGGCCACGAGGAAAACGGCAATGATTTACACCTCCTACAATGATATATTCATCTAGACAGCTAAATGGGAGAAAGCTGTACTCCTTAGATTCTCTCTAGATCCAATATGCTGGGTTAGAAAAAAAAATAGCAGTATGAATGAAGAGGATAGACTTTGTTTAGCCTACTTACCTAAGGAAACCAGGCTTCTGAGACCACATTGACTATTCAACATTCCTTGAATAGAGCTGAAGTTTTCAATCAAATTTGACAGAGACAAATAAAAAATTAACAAATTTCAGTTTCTGCCAGTGTCATGGAAACTGATGGTTAAGGCTGTAAAGAAACGTCCTGTTAAGGCTCTCACTGAATAAAAGGCTATTAAATTCACTAAGACCCAAATTTAATGATTTCTGTTCTTACATAACCCAACACCACACTGCTGAACACCTCACTCATGGCTCATATATAATTAACATGTTATACACCAAAATAGCTGTAAGCTATATGGGATGCAATGCAGAAAAGGGAACCCCAAGACTTTTTGTGAAGGTCAAAGTGCTGTGAGTTTCAAGCACAACTTGTTGTACTGGGCTTAAAATAGAATAAAAGGAACATAAAAAAATGGATAAGCAACATTAAACTTCCCATGAAGTTTATCTCAATGTGAATAGAGTAACTCTCACTTAGAACCAATGCCTTATTGGTTCTAAAACAGGACAAATCAGTATTTTAGAAATTTCCACTAGGCATTGAACTGGTGCCACAGCAAACATGATGCCGAAGCCTATACAGTGTCTGTCAAATGAAAATACACGAAAACCCACCAAAATGCTGAAGACCTTCACAAGAAATACTTCAGTTCCTCATCTTTGCACTCATTAATAAATATTCACTGCAGTCAGTTTGAATTACTGTTAAGAGTTTCAAGGGTGAAACAGGGGTTAATGAGGCCAAAAGAAACACAAGAATAGAGATAACTGTGGAATTCTAAAAAAAAAAAAAAGAGCAAGGAATACACAAGAAGCTGGTTTCATGTAAAATTAGTGGCAAATGAAGAAAACCTATACCTAAACCTAAAACACTGCTTCACCATCAGGTGTGACTGGGGCTTCTCAAGGCACGCTGTTTCCATGTGTGTTACTGTAACAGGACACACACTTCACTGACTAGTGTTAATTACAATGAAAATCTCCTATAATTAACTGTAAAAGAATGTACCAATGGAACTGAGATAAACCAACCTTTCCCCACACACCCATGTATATATACAGCAGTGATTTTTTTTTACTGGCAGTTCTGTAAAATAATTTTTTGAGTACAACCATCAAGATTCTGATACCTCTTGTATTCTCACAAGATCATTTACATAGAGATTCCATAAGCTATTTCACCAGATGACGTCAAGAAGAGGTGCTCAAAATTCAACCTATTACAAAAGCAAACTACCTTGCCACAGTACTCCAATGATATGTTAAATCAGTATGTTGCATTATTAAAAATAATTTTTGTCCCTCTATCATTCCCCCTAGCAGCAAAGACCTAAGCCCAACCATTTTTCAGCACTGCCCCGTGTAGCCCCCTTCCAACTCCCCTGCCTGAGACGCCCTAATCCTCTCTTTGTGGCATCGGTCACCCTCGGCAAGCGTGACGCACCAGCCCAGAAGGCTGCTCAGGACGAATTTTGCATATCTGATCAATCAACACTTTCAGTTGTTACCCATCCATTCAAACAGACGGCTTTTCCTTGTCAGTTTTGCCCACCCACAGGCAGATGTCACCAGGTCCCACTAATGTCCCAGATACCACAACCGGACCCCTCTGCAGGGACCAGTAGGTTGCTGCTGGTAAACATTTTTTTTTAAAGATTTTAAGGTGGCAATCAGCATGAACTTTACAGAGAGAAAGCCAAAGAGAGTTCTACCTACAATTAAGTTCTCCCTCCATGGAACCCTCTCTAAGTCTGCTCTGAACTGTGAATGAACCCTCATTCCTCCCCAAAACCCTTTCTTCAGATGTCAGTAAAAGCAGGTAAGAGTGATTAATACGTTTGTATGACACCAATGTATCTGAGAGAAAAGCTTGACCTGCCCACCTGAAATAACTTAATGGAGCCAATAATTTTTTATTCCAAATAAAAGTGATGCATACAAATATCACTGCAAAATGGACAGGACTTTGCAACAAAACTAACTTTCTATTCACCATTTCATTTTGGCAGATTTTTTTTTCTCACTCTTCCTCATCCCCTTGGAAAAAAATAATTCCAAGACATTACCTCCTAATCTTCCAAGCTTCAAAATCAAGCTCTAAACAAATGATTGCAATCACAACTTCCTTCACCTGTAAGCCACTGCAACCCAAATGCCAAGATACACATTATACTGTGGTGAATCAGGCCCTCTTACTGCACTGCTTGTCCTCTCCCTAAAATGCTGCAGGTTGCCTGCTTACCCTCCAAAACAAACAGGATGAGGATGAGCTACATGCCACACACTGGTTATGCCATTCTGCATGCTCCTAAATGTGATTAGCACAGAAAACGCGAGAAGACCAGAAGGCATCTTTCCATATTTAGCCATGTATGTTTAATACTGAGTGAGATTTCACCTCAGTGCATTATTCCATTAATCAAGGGTGGGTATAACAAGAGATACACAGACTGACATCAGCTACTTTCAAGATCTCTCTTCCTCTTTCCCCCACCTCCAGCTTCTATGACACCATGTATTGTGCATTTCATGTGCATTCATGTGTGCAAACCGCAGAGACTTATCTATAAAGATCAGTTATACGGTAAAACTGCAAAAGGAAACTTTCACCCTTGTCCAGCTGGTTGAGTAACTGCAGAGGCCAACAGCAGCAAGCCTCTAAATACATCCTGCTCTTCTCTCTCCACCCCCACGTCTCTAATCACTTAGGAGGAAGATAGGAAGATTAGCAGAGAGGAAAAAAACATAACCAAAGCTGCAGATAACCCTTTAGGACCACAATGTCAGGTTATAAGAACATGGAGCAAAAGGTTAATGCAGCTGTATTTTCAGGAATCTCAGGCACAATTGCATTTAAAGGGGAGGGAGGGGTACTGAGAAGGTGAGAGAGAAAAAAGGAAATGGTGATGAAGACAAAAATGAATTTGTTGTCTACAGCTGGCTCTTTGATCACCTGGAGTATTCAGGAAAGGATTATCAGCAGAAATAGGGCAGTTTTATTAACAATACATCACAATTTTTCTTATAGGATATTTTCATTACCATCACCAGAACAGATTTTAGCAAGAACACAGCTGCAGAAGACTCACTGAGCTATGCAAAGGATAAAGGTGGCAACCAAAACAGTGACAGAGAACTACCTTTAGCAGCTGATATACTGAAGAGATGTGAAAAAAAAAAGAAATATAAATAAAAGTCACTTCCACTAGAAGACAATGTCATCTTCATCCATGTCTCTGAACGGTTGCTATGGGGTTGTGAAGAGGAGGGGAAGGATGGGGGGGAGGTTATAATCAATCATCTCAGAAGAGCATTGCTTCTTACAGAGAAAGATCTGGATTTTGACTGTGTCCCTAAGAAAATTGCGGACTGCAGAGCTGCTGCTGCCACGCAGGGCAGTGAGGAAGCAGGCAGAGCAGAGGCAGCAGCTGGGGATGGAAACGCCTATTAAATCCTTTAGACAACAGATGGGCAAAGCTCGGCTGGGTTATAAAAAAAAAAAAATACACCACAATGCATCATGTTTTATTGTCCCACCATAATGAACAACACTTAACACCCACATGCCCAAAGAAGCCCCCCCTATGGCTGATCTTACCCCTTTCCTAAATTATAATATCAAGTCTCAATCCACTTTTAGGGGGATCCCAACCCAATGAATTTGCCAGATGCCATTGCTTATTGCACCTGTTACTAAAAATAAAAAATATTTAAGAAAAAAGGCATTTGGGCTTCTTTTTAAGGGTTTTCCTTCCAATTAATACTCCCCTGCCCTTGAAGTGAATATGCCATCCAAGCAAGCAACAGTAAGTCCAGATCTTGAACGCATTTAGGGGATCTAATTATGTCATGTAGGGCAGAAGCACCTGCTCTCTGCTAATTCCCTCCACTCGCTTTCCTCTTTTTAATATTTCTTACCATTGTTCCATTCAGGAAAATCTGCTGGGGGCGAGTTTCATAAACAAGCTTTAAGAAAAATAATTAAATAACCTCCCTTCCCCCCTCTCAACCCCTCCTACAAAAACACAGCATAACCAGAATGAATTCTGCTACCGAGTCTCTATTTTGTCTTTTATTTCAGACCCTACCCACAAAAACCACCAGCCCATCCATCCATATTTGCTAAATACCCACAGCAGTCAGTGCCAGAGACATACTGTACATATTTCCACCAACCCCCCCCAACTGCACCTTAAGGACTACACCCTTTTCAATCATGATGTCATGAAATACTGCTGGTGACTCCCCCACTACCACCACCACCACCTCCTCAGTACTACAGGCTGTGAACCTTTAATTTCAATATAATTTGATTAAAAAGAAAAATGCTCCTAAGTAGGGCAGTGAAGAAACGGATGTGAAAATTCACCACCAGCAGATCATCTATTTTTTTTTCCTCTGCATGCACTCTGGCTGTCATCAGAACAACACCCATTAGCAGGAGTAATGAACATAAAGCATCCTGGGCTTTTTTCTTTTTCTTTTCTTTTTTTTTTAAAAAGGGGAGAAAAGAAAAAAAAAAAAGGAAGAAAAGAAGGAATTAAAATGAAAACTAAAAATAAATAAATACCAAAATCGCCTATGAATATTATCTTCACTGAAACAGCAAATGGGAAAGCCTGAACCCTCAAACACCCCATCCCCAACACCTCAGTGGCTGCTACAGCACCTTCCCTCTAGCACCGGTGCTGCTGCAAAAGAACCAACCTGTCTGTCCTTTTCCTAGGGTTTTCTCCAAACGATAGGGTCCAACATATTGTGCATGTTGAGCTCCGCTGCCTTCCTTCCCTGTTGATGTCATTTCTACCTGGATCTGTAATTCTGCAATGTGTATGTGCTGATGAGCTGGATTTTCTCTCTCTGCAGCTCTTTAAATTCCCACTTTGCAGCTGTGCAAGCAAAGCACTCTTTTTCTTTGCTTTAGTCCCCTTGGTTGCAGATTTTCGTCTTCCTCCTCTTTCTTTCCTCTCTCTCTCACGTGCTTGTTTTCTCGCTGGGTCTGCTTGGGACGCTGAAAGACGAAGGAGTTGTTTTAGTGTTCAAAGAGGGGGATCTACGATCCAAGCCCAAGGAGCATGATGCTGGTGATCCGAGCTCCGCACGCCTTGTTCTCTCTAGGAGCTGTTCAAGGGAGAGCCAGGGCAGGAGCAGCGGAAGAGCCGGGGCCCGCAGCTCTGAATGACATTAAAAGCAGCCAATCCCTTCGCCTGCACCTTCTTCTCCCCTCCTCCTCCCACTACCTTTTCTTTTCCATCAGCAGCAGTTGCTGCCTCTGCCTGCTACAGAGCATCATGACCAATGGCAGCAGCAAACACCTAAGTTCATCAGCCTATTGATAAGGCACAATTAAATATAATTTAATGTGTGCATTAATTTAAGACCCAAACATACACTTTTTTCTTTCTATTTTTTTTAAGCTCTGAATTTTACTCTGCTATGCAGCTGCAGTTCCAGATTACTAAAGAAAAGGCAAGATTGTGGTAGGAAATAGGAGAGAGGGAAAACATTCTATTTCTGAAAATGAGCTTGGGAAATTATTTGATTCTGTTTGATTCTGGTGGACCAGGGAGGAGGCATGCTGGGGGTTTTATCCTTTTATCCTGTAAAGAAAACCTCGGAGAAAGAGGGGGGTTGTGGGGGAGAAGAGAAAAATAACAGGGACAATCCTGTGACCACTAAACTCAGTGACAGACCTGCTTTTGAATTTGATGGGAACAGAAAAACTTCGGGTCCTTAAGATGAAAAGATCAAAAACTGAATGGCCACTCTCCTAATTAAAATTGCAACAGAAAATCCAGGGATTAGATGGTAATAGGAACAGATTGCCAGAGCCACAGGCACCATACTAGCAGTGTAAGGAAACTTTCACTGTTTTTGTCTAAGTATGGCTGTGTTTAACCTTCAGAGATTAGGGACCTGGATAAAAGAAGGGATTCTGCAGAGGGTTCAGGAGAAGCCTATGTGCTTTCTGGATTCAGGACCATGCAACAGCTTCAGCTTCAGGGATATCAAGCTGAAGCTGTTCCCACACAGAGCTTTCATTTTTACCTTCTTTTCCCTACTTCAGACAGAAAACTGCTCAAGATATTGCTATTCAAGTTCCAGCTGAGACACAGAGCAAAAATTCTGAAAGTCAGGGAAGGTAGCCTTGACAAGCCTGTGAAGAGAGAGTAAAGAGAAGGCAAAACTTTTACAACCCTTATCATTATCTATTGCTCATTGAAAGAAGACTATTTCAGGTTTGTTTATTTATTTGTTTTTTTTTTTTTTTAAGAGGGAAATTTACCTTTTTTTTTAAATACCTATATCCAGAAACAACAGATGCTCCTGTAAATTGGAATAAAACCAGAAATTGGCTGTCTACCTCTACCACAGACAGTATGAGTCTCCAACAGGTTACAGAGGAGTTAGTAAGATGAGGAGGTGAGAGGAAATCAGGCCAGTAGACCGAAACCTTAAACAATTCCAGGAACAAACCCCTAACACTTGCTTTGGGGATAAAAACAACCCTGCTTTGCCCTTTATGGTTCACTTTTACTCACGTCCAGATTGTCAGTGCAGCAGCCTGTAAGCAAACTCCAAAACAGCATCCCCATCCCTCAGCTTCCCCCTCCACACCCTGTGTGACCATCCACCGTTACTCCTTCCCTGCCAAGCACTGCTTCTGTGTCTTTCCAATGGCAACCTCTGCCCCCTCAACCCTACAGGTGTTCACGTCACCCTCTCAACTCAACCCCAAGCTGCCATTTCTCCAGGCTCCCCAGACCTTTCCTTGCTCATTGCTCTGCCACCACACCTCAGCTCCCCTTTCACCCTCACGGCCTCACGCGTTCTCCCCTCATCACCTCATGCAGCCCCTCACCAGGGAGGGAGGGGGGGAAGAAAGCTGAGGAAAACATCACCAACAGCCAGGGTGGCATTGCCCATGCTGTGTCCACTCCTCTCTGTCCTGCAGCCGCTGCACAACCACCAGAGGAAGGGGCCCAAGGGGAGGCTCTGCCGGCAGCCACAGCGACATGGCGGCTTTTCCTGCCCAAAGCGGTGAGTGCGGTGTGGGGACCGGAGGGCAGGGAAGGCCTGTGCAGCATCCATGTGGGGAGGAGCAGGGTAAATGGGCTACGTGCCTATGGCAGGGCTGCAAGGCCTGGCCCATGGCCGAGGGCTGAGGCACCGCCTGCCCCAGGTGTGGCGCTTGCACCACCGACAGACATGAGGGCTCCAACAGCCGGCCATGAGGCCCAGAGGCATCGGGATGGATTCAGCAGGGCACTCTGGTCCATCTTGTGACACGGCTGAAAAAATGTCTCTGAAACTTGAGGCACACGCCACTTCCCTGAGAAGATCTCCTTTCCCTATGTCTTACAAGCTACAATGGGCGCGTTCCAGGTGAGGCACCATGGTGGGAGAAGCGCTCGCCATGACGGGCTCTTGGCCAAACCAAATACTGGGGGCAATCAAAATGTGTCACGGTTTCTGATGTTTCACTCCTCTCTAAATGCCTGCCCTCCCACACTGTCAAAAAGTCCCCACAGACAGTAAGTGACAACGCTGAATTATGGCAATGCGTAGCTTTCAGAAAAAGGAAAATATTGTGTATTTGTATAAATTAGCAGAGTATTCACACCACCATATTAATAATGCAGGTGGTGAATATCAGCATAGGTCAAAATCTTTTTTAATTCCAAGATTTGTATCTTAAAAGGTATTTAACACAAGATGATGATGTCTGTACATAAAGGTACCCATATATGGGTCATGTTATTAATGGAAAGATGAGAAATCAGACAATATTCTCAATCCAAGTTCAAACTTGTGTATTTCACGTTTGTTTCTATTGGGCATCAAGGAAAGTGGGTTAAGAGACATGGATGTGACAAATATCCACCTTCTGTCACAAAATATGTGTCAGTATCATGGCTGGAATAAGGTCAAAAACTTAGTGAATTTCATATGATCCTGACTGGAAGATAGAACAAAACAACACAAACAAACACACACATACATGCACAATACCTCCCTCACGTGTCTCTCTCCCTCCCCACCCCCCACTCCTCATATATTTTGATCTCATTAAGTTATGTTATTTTGATTCCATTGGAATATTTTTCTGTGTAGCCCATTGCAACAATTTCAACCTTTTGTCCTAAACTCTTTTTCAAAAAACGCTTGGACATTTCTTGATTACTGAATAATCAAATGTTTTGGGTTTTTTTAAAGTTTTATTTATTTGTTCATATGGAGCCAAATCCCATTTATCTGTACCCCTTTGATCTGAAACTCAGTCCTTTGAATCTAGGTTATGTCCCCCTGGTGTGAATTACTTATACAATAACTCCCTCAATTATTTGAAGCCCTGTTTATCCAAATGTTTTGATGTTCTGAAAGTATTTTGAATAAACAGGACTCTGCTGTCATTGGATATATCAGATATCTTTGGGGATGCATATGGGATGATTTCCCCTGACCTTATTCTGTATAATCTTGTGCTTAAATGAACAAGCAGTGGAAACTTAAGTGTATAGTTGGCATATTGGCATAATCTTTGGTTCTTGTACTCTTTTCTCCATTATTTTTCTTTTGTTATTCTTATTTAACGACTAAATTTCTCTCAGGAAGGACTCAACACTGATCCCAGCAAAAATTTTGCTTGAGTATGGAGTGAACAAAAAAGAAATTAGAATCTTTCAAAGCTTTATCATACTTCTGAAAAAAAACGCAGAGCAAAGGATTTGCTTTTTTTTCTTTTGCATTCTTTACCCACTCCATTGACAATAGCTTGTGCCTAATGAAAGTCTTCATGGTCATTCGTTTTCTTAGGTGCTTGTCATTGCCTTTCCTGTCATTCCCATGAAAATCTTAAGGCTCAACATGGATCATGAGATGATGATCTGGAAAAAAACAGGTCCATGAGGAAGTTTTGTTTTAATGCTTTTCACTTGTTCAGTTGAATATATGTGTGAAGTTAGTACTGAAAAAAAAAAGGAAGTGCAAGGCTTCCAAGAAAAGTCACCAATAAAACTGTGTAATTAGCATGGAATACTATATCATTAGTCTTCCTGTGGTAAGAAGAATTAAGATAAGCTAGGACTTTGTCTCCAGTTAGAATAACCTAGTAGCTTATGGTTATGATAAGGACATAATAAAGTTAAAGAGCACAAAAATATTCAGCATTTGCAATGTCAGGATCCATTATCACATCTTGAATTGTGTGTTCCATCCACATATGTATGGACACATAACACCCCTTTGATAAGTGATGTAGAATTTGAGAATTAACCTCATTATATTGATATTTCATAAGAAACTAACCCAGGTGTTTGAGGGACATTTAGTCATCAATACTGTTGACAAACTGGTAACACTTTTATTGAGGATGATTATATCAATCTGCAACATCTCCAAACAGATGTTAACAGTCTAAAATTGAAAATGTTCCCCCTCTGCATTAGGTTACTGTCTTTGTAAGAAGCTGAGGAAGACTGCAAAAAAATAAAGGATTGGATTTCTGCAAGTGGGCGATGTTTCAAATTCTTAGAACAAACTCAGAGTTCAGGCATTTTTCTTACTGTAGCAAGTACTGAGGAACTTAATTAGTTAACATCAGTTATGGGAAGGCAGTGCTTCCACACAGACTCCTACTGTGGCAGCTCCTATAAACTGGTCTATACTGCTCAGCAAACCTATACCATGACAGTAGTTGGGCAGATTCTTTGGAGATTTTGCTGTTGTTGCCATTATTACTATTGTTAATAATAATTTAGCAAGTATTATTAGGATTCTTGGCATTCTACATATTCTAGTACATAATTTTTAGTACTCATCCAGAAAAAAAAATGAACTGTTAGCTTATTATCTACATATCATCTTTGCTTCAAGCTGAATTAAGGTAAAGACTTGTAAAATGTTTAATAACAAAATAGATAACTGCTTTCGCAGTATCATTTCCTCTGGACCGTGGACTGTCTTTATTCCTTTGGAAATATTACTGTCATTTTCTCAAGCCTGCTGCTGTCATTACCTATGCCTCACAGAATTTTTAAACTATTAAGAAACAAAAAGCTATTTCCAGCTTAATATAGCAATGTGAAAACCTCTATATGAAGGGGTTTTTTTCCAT